TCTACCTTCACTTCACCATTGATGCCTTCAGATCAACACCATCATTGTCTACACCCATCGACATAACCACTCTTGGAGTACCATCAACCATCTTAGATTCACTTATGTTCCTGTTCGGGAAACACTAGTCTTCAAGTCTCTGCTTGGATAGGGTGACGTCCTTCCGTATCTTGCTGACGTTACTTAACGTGGGGAGGGTACTTGCAAAAGGTACTCCGATATTGAAGTTAGGATTCAGTTTTGAGCAATTATTGCTATTTTATATTGAAAGTTCACCTTTCACCTGTACTTCCTAACTTTCTTTTATAGGCATTGTTATGGGCTAATGGGCTTGCTGAGTCAGCCTTGGTTCTGGCCTTTTAATTAAAGTAGATAATATTTTGATTATTATCCTTAATTGGATTAATTACCTTTTAATCTGACAAAAGGTATTTGGCTATATTAGACCGAAGAAGTACTCGGTTACCTTTTCCTAGAGCTAAGACCGAATAGTGCCCTATCTAGTACACTAGCCCCCTAAGCTCGAAGAGGTACGAAGCAAGGGCTTAATAATGTATTTACCCATGACACTTTGACGGAGGAGGTATTCAGTTGTAATGAAGAAGTAAGCAGACCGAAAGGGGGTATTAGGCGCTATTCATCCAAGGATGAGGCCGAAGGGGTGTTCGGCATCATGCATCCAAGGATGAGGCCGAAGGGGTGTTAGGCGCTATGCATCCAAGGATGGGGCCGAAGGGGGGTTAGGCGCCTTGCATCTAAGGATGACACTCCCAAGGATGAGGTTGAAGGGGGGTGTTAGGCGCCATGCATCCAATGATGAGGCCGAAGGGGTGTTAGGCGCCTTGCATCCAAGGATGAGGCCGAAGGGGTGTTTGGCGTCATGCATCCAAGGATGAGGCCGAAAGGGGGTGTTAGGCGCATTTCATCCAAGGATGGGGCCGAAGGGGGGTTAGGCGCCTTACATCCAGGGATGAGGCCGAAGGGGGGTGTTAGGCGCCTTGCATCTAAGGATGAGGCCGAAGGGGTGTTAGGCGCCATGCATCCAAGAATGGGGTCAAAGGGGGGTTAGGCGCCTTGCATCCGAGGATGAGGCCGAAGGGGGTGTTAGGCATCATGCATCCAAGGATGGAATAGACAAGTTTACTTGTGTATTAATGGTAACTTTTAAAATAACGTTTAAAAGTTAACAAGTTAAAGATGACTAGTTCCATGATATTTGCATTTTTTTTTAACGACTCGAACCGAATACGTTACACGACAACAATCATGCGTTATTAGAAAATAGCTGAGTGAGGTGTGTGTCAGCAAACATTCAAACAGAATGGGTACTCGTAAATGTAAATTTTACCTTAATCGAGAGGGGTTGATAGGAGAAAATAATCAAACTTTTAACCAAGCGAGGTACTTGGAAATATAGATACTAACCGAGATAGGTTATCCGAAAAAAGTAATTAAATCTTATTTGAGATATTAATTCAACCTTAGCCAAGTGAGAACCCGAGAGGGAATATTGATTCAACCTTAGTCGAGCGAGGTATTCTAGAGGAAATATTTAATTTAACCTTAGCCAAGTTTGGTACTCGAGAGGGAATATTTAATTCAACCTTAGCCAAGTGTGCTACTCGGAAAGGAATATTTAATTCAACCTTAGCCGAGTAAGGTACTCGGGAGAGAATATTTAATTCAACCTTAGCTGAGTGTGGTACTTGGGAGGGAATTTTGATTCAATCTTAGCCAAGTGAGCTACTCGGGAGGGAATTTTGATTAAACCTTAGCCGAGTGAGGTACCCGGGAGGAAATATTTAATTCAACCTTAGCCGAGAGTGGTACTTAGGAGGGAATATTTAATTCAACCTTAGCCAAGTGAAGTACTCAAAAGGGAATTTTGATTCAACCTTAGCCAAGTGAGGTACTCGGGAGGAAATAATAAGAGACTATTGACTTGTAAAGAAAGTTCTATCATTTTATTGATAAAGTGTCTCATTAAAGACCTTATCTTGAAAACCTCTTTTCACGTTCTTAAAATAGGACAAAACCTGAGTGAGAAAAGAATGCACTAAATTTACTAAGTACAATTTCTAGCCTGATTGAGAGTGTTCGTGCGCTTCGATATTGTCAATATCTCTGTTGCTAAAGCCTGCTCGAGTACCTTGGACCGGCTGGTGTTTAACATTGTGTAACTTACAAACCTAAGTCTCCTCGGGAGACGTTCAGTTCTGATCTTTTGGTCCTTGTTTCCATGTTTGTTTCTTGCGTGTTCGTTCCCTTCAGATTCTCTTCAACTAGGCACTTGCTCCATCTGGGCCTGGTTATGGAACTTGGCCAGTTCTTCTATTTGCATGTACTTGGTTGCTTGACAACATAGTTCATCTAAGTCGACAGGGTTTTTTTTTTGCAGATATTGTTGACAAATGGCCCTGGCCTAAGGGCTGTTGTAAGATGGTGCATCACAACTGCCGGATCCAAGTTTCGGATAGAGAGGGCCATTTGTCCGAAACGTTCCATAAACAACCTGAGTGTTTCTTTCTTCTCCTGGCGAATATTAACCAAAGCCAACGAGGTCAGTTGATGAGGATGACTAGTGGCAAACTGTAAATTGAATCATCTTGTGAGGGTTGCAAACGAATCAATGGACGAAGGGGGTAGCCTGGTGAACCAACTGAAGGCTGGTCCTCTAAGGGAAGTGGGGAAAATTCTGCACTATAAGGCCTTGTTTTTTGTATACAGACCAACTTGGGTTATGAAAATATCCAAGTGTTCTCCTGGATCAGTCGTTCCATCATACTTTTCTAACGTTAAACCTCTCCAGTTATCAGGTAACTTGGCCTCCATGATAGGCTGAATAAAAGGGCTTCGACCCGAGACATCATCCCGTTCAGTAGGGATTCCAACTTGTAGAGTTCCCTTAAGCTTTTCTTGCAATGCCGAGGACTCTCCCTGCTCTTGAGCGAACCGGGTAGTCCGAGAGGGTATATGGGTTTTAATTTCCTCCCTCAAGTTAGCGTTCTCCCTCCTTAAGGCCGACATCTCAAGAGCATCTCTCTCTCTGGCCTGTTGCATTTCTCTCATCTTGGCCTTGAGCTGTCTTACTACAGAAAAGAGGATTGCATCTCCCCCTCTTTTGGCCAAAACTTCAGGGATCGGTTGATTGGATGTGACCTCTTCCTGTTGACGAGAAGTTCGTCCTTGATAATTCTGTCCCTCCTGTTGGCATCTTGTTAGTACCATGATGACTGAAAAAGTGAGGCTATTCGTGCCCCATGGTGGGCGCCAAAATGTTTCTGTTCGGGAAACATTAGTCTTCAAGTCTCTGCTTAGATAGTGTGACGTCCTTCTGTATCTTGCTGACATTACTTGATGTGGTAAGGGTACCTGCAAAAGGCACTCCGATACTGAAGTCAGGATTCGGTTCTAAGCAATAAATGCTATTTTATATTGAAAAGTCCATATTTTACCTGTACTTCCTAACTTCTTTTTATAGGCATTGTTATGGGGTAATGGGCTTGCTAAGTCAGCCTTGGTTTTGGCCCTTTAATTAAAGTAAATAATATTTTAATTATTACCCTTAATTAGATGAATTACCTTATAATCTGACAAAGTGTATTCGGCTATATTAGACCAAAGGGGTACTTAGTTACCTTTTCCTCGAGGTAAGACCGAATAGTGCCCTATTCAGTACACTAAGGTGCCTAACACCCCTTCGGCCTCATCCTTGGATGAATAGCGCCTAACACCCCTTTCGGCCTGCTTACTTCTTCATTACAACCGAATACCTCCTCCGTCAAAGTGCCATGGGTAAATACATTATTAAGCCCTCGCTTCGTACCTCTTCGGACTTGGGGGGCTAGTGTACTGGATAGGGCATTATTCAGTCTTACATCTAGGAAAAGGTAACCGAGTACCCCTTCGATCTAATATAGCCGAATACCCTTTGTCAAATTAAAAGGTAATTAATCTAATTAAGGGTAATAATCAAAATATTATCTACTTTAATTAAAGGGTCAAAACCAAGGCTGACTCAGCAAGCCCATTAGCCCATAACAATGCCTATAAAAGAAAGTTAGGAAGTACAAGTAAAAGGTGAACTTTTCAATATAAAATATAATTTATTGCTCAGAACCGAATCCTAACTTCAGTATCGGAGTGCCTTTTGCAGGTACCCTCACCACGTCAAGTAACGTCAGCAAGATACGGAAGGATGTCACTCTATCCAAGCAGAGACTTGAAGATTAGTGTTTCCCGAACAGGAACAACTTAGGTTTTTTCTTTTTCTTTGGATTTCTGTTTCACCATTGTTGATTTTTTATTTGGATTTGGATTTGGATTCAAATTCAGATTCTTAGTCAGAACAAGAATCAACATATCTGTAAAAAAAGCTCAGGTTTGATTCTTCTTTTCTTGCATTTTTTTTCTCTGTGGCTATGTGATTTAACATTATGTATGAGTTTAAATGCTGTGTGATTTGAGTGTGGTAACCAAGAATTATGTGCTCATATTCTTAGTTGTGTTTCTGAAGTTAGAGTGAGTAGAGTGACTTGTGACTAAGATTATATGCTAAATATGTACTCGTTGCACTTCGAGACAGAGTGGTGTGTTTGGGCAATTGCTGTTTACTAGTGAGAAGTGATAACATATAAGTATTCATTTATTCATATACACCTACACCTTTTTTTAATTTTTTTTTTACTTCAAAACACCTAAAATCTCAATTTTCCCATGTCTATTTTTGTACTTATCATCTACATTATATTGTTTATTGGCTCTACGGGGTTGATGGTTTTCTGTGCAGTCACTTCAAGCTATTTTTGATAGTGTGATTCACCAATTCTTTAAAGATCTACATATCTATAAGATGCATATTTATTTATTTATTTATTTTCAAAAAGATCCTAGCTTAAATTTATGCATAATACTTTTTGAGATGGAGAAGCCTGCTCCTAACTCAAGGTGCAAGGAAGAAGATAGTTTTAGGACTTGCACAAGAGGCTTGCTATATTTGCATGAGCAGTGGTGACCCTAAGATTATTCATAGAGATGTGAAGGCTACAAATATCTGGCTTGATGACAATTGTGAGAAGATAGTTAGAAATTTTGGGTTGGTAAAGCTGCTGGATCACAAGGTTTTCACAGTGAGGAAAATTTTAGGGCACATAGCCCCACAATATGTTTCAACAGGCCAGTCTTCTTAGAAAACAGAAGTGTTTGGGTTTGGAATCTTTCTACTTGATTTAATATCTTAGCCTAAGAGCTGTTAATTTAGGGAAAGAAGAAAACCAAGAAAACCCATGTTGCCATAGGTGAGCTAAACAAAATTGCTTTGTTTGTCCTCATTCATGTTTATTGTATATTTCTTTGCTTCATCAAAATGTATTCATAATGAGTTGACTACAAATGCATGTGAAAAAGTGCATCAAGAGAAGAAATTTGACTAGTTTGTTGACAAGAAAAACAATTATGACAGTATTGATCTTGCCAACCAAGGGCACCCATGCTAGAGGCAATAGCTGATGGGGAAAAAGAGAAAACAAAAAGGCAAGATGTGGCGTAAATTAGAAACTCATAACACACTGAAATGCTTAGCATGACCTATCTTATATTAAGCCAAACAAAGTCTTAATGCATAAACATTTACATGGTTTAAGAGGCCAAAATGTTGTCCAATTAAAAGGGAGAATTTAGCATCTAAACTTAATAAATCCATCTACGGGTTAGGATTGGCTTCTAGGAAATAATTTCAAATTTTGCCTTTGCCTTTTTGAATGAACCATGCTTTTCTACGGTCAAAGAATGAGTTTCACTTTTAATAAAACGCCAATACTCATCACTTGTTTCTCCATTGGTGTATGTTGATTATACAGTAATTGCAGGCTCCAAATAATATGATCAATGCTTGAATCAAATCCTATCTACAATCTCAGTTCAAACTTTTAGGTGTCTTTATAAATGAGTAAATGAGCTATTTGATATGTTAAGTGCCTGTACCTATACCAGTGCATACTTGTTCATTTTACATGCTTTTATTAGGTATGCATATGTATTTATGAAAATATGAATAGTAAATTCTTGAATTATAGAATGTGTTTTATTGATTAAATACGTGCTCTACATTTTCTTATAATTTTAGAAAGTTATAATATAAATTAAATTATGTTTATGTCTTTGATCAATATTTACCCCTCTTCTATTTAAGTTTCATTTGGCTTTATATGCATTGATGTTTACTTATTTTTAATATTCCTTTGTGATAGATGATAACTAATGTTGATAACAATGAGTCAAAATTCTGGCCTGACTCTGTTGTTAAGGCTTTCATTGATATCATGGTTGATGAAACCACAAAAGGAAACATGTCAAATGGTGTGTTTCACTCTAAAACATAGAATTCGATGATTATGAATTTAAATTCCATAACAAATCGTTCATATAAATCAGAACAATTAAAAACAAAGATGCACAGGCTATCACTTATTTATCATGAATTTTCTTTATTTTTGCAACAAACTGGATGGAATGCAGAAACCAATACTATCACTGTAAGTGAAGAAGTATGGAAAAATTATCTACGGGTATGATTTAATTTAATAGTTAATATTTTTATTTTTTATTTATTTAATGTTCAATAATTAATAATGTATTGACTATTTGCTTATATTATTTTAGGTACATGATAAAGCTGCTCAATTTCAAAAGAAAAGATACGACCATTATAAGTTATTGGGAATGATATTCAATAGAAGTACTGCAACTGGAGTACTTCATCATTCATCTACCCAAGATCCACCAAATACAGACGAAAAAAATAAGCTTGAAAGTCAATACCTTAATAGTGGGAGTTATTTAAATGTTGATAACAATAGATCGGATGATAACACAGAAGAAGTGGAGCGCATCTCATGTAGTGGAAAACGCAAAATTCAAGTAAAAGAGCACAAGTCTAGGAGAGAGTCTAGGACATTACAAATGGGAGAGGCTCTTACAGCATGGGTTGAAGCATCTAAGGCAAAAGTTGAGAAGTATAAGATTAGAAGTATGAAGGCTACTTCTTCACTTGTTACACCAGATTATTCTATTACTAAGTGTACGACTGCCCTCGAAGAGATTGAAGGCATACCAGATGACATTTATGTAAAAGCTTTAGAAAAAATTAGGAAGCCTGATTAGAGGGAAATGTTTCTTGCTATGTCTACTAATAGGAAATAAGCATGATTATTTAGGCTTTAAGGATAGAACTTTAGACATCTATGATTATGTTTTTTAATTTGTGATGAACATTTATTTGTGTGCTTTATGAACTACTTTGAATTTTATGTTATGTTATTTTGGTTTTATTATATAATTTTTATTGAATATCTTTTTTATCAATGTTTTTATTTTGTGAAATTATATGATAGGTTATAATCATAATGGATATTGATAAAAAGTGGTGATTCTTCTTTTGAGTCAAGTGATGATGAGTTAGCTGAGTTTCTTTTAGTTAATATGCTTTATGATTATGATCATAAATTTCTGAACAAAAGAAAGGTTCGAACATCTACATTGAGTGGTCGTGATTATACTCAAGAGTTATTAAATGGATCTGGAGTAACTTGGTTTGAGTTACTTGAAATGAAGAAGGACTGTTTTGTTAAATTTTGTGATGAGTTGAGGGTAAAGAATTACTTAAGTGACTCAAAGAATGTTCTTCTTAAAGAGAAAGTTGCTATGTTTTTATTTATAATTGGCCAGAATGTTTGTCATAGAGTTGCTGTAGATCACTTTCAACACTCAACAGAAATAGTTTCTCGTTATTTTAAGCAAATGTTAAGAGCAATATGTTTATTGGGAAAAGAGCTGATAAAACAAGACTCTACATAATTACCCAACAAGATTAGAAATGAATCAAAATATTATCCTTGGCTCAAGGTATGTATGTAATACTTATTTGTTATTTTAATCATTTGTCCTTTTTTTTCTTTTATTCTATCTTGTTTTAATTTTTTTATATTTTGGGTTATTGTTATAAAACTGCATAGGTGCAATTGATGGCACTCATATAAGTGCACGGGTTCTTGTTGAAAAACATATTGCATGTAGAGATAGAAAGGCAACTATCACGCAGAATGTTATGTGTGCTTCTGATTTTAATATGATGTTTACATTCCTGTATTCTGGATAGGAAGGAAGTGCACATGATTCAAAAGTTTTTTTAGATGCACTTACTAACCGAAATGCAAATTTTTCATGACCATCTAAAGGTGAACACTTATATTATAACTCAATTATTTGTAATTGATAAAGAAATATTCATAAATATATATTCTATGTAATGTAGGTTTGTTCTATCTTGTTGATTCTAGTTATCCATGTACGAGAGGTTTTCTTCTCCTTATAGGAGAGAAAGGTATCATGCACAGGAATATAGAGGCCAAGCCAGACAACCAAGGAGTCCTACAGAATTATTCAACTACAGACACTCTTTTTTGAGAATGACAATTGAGCGTTGCTTTGCAATCTTGAAAAACATGTTTCCTATTTTGAAGTTGATGCCTCCATATAAACCTTCCAGGCAACGACTCATAGTAACAACATGTGCTATTCATAATTACGTACGGAAATGAAATTTGAATGATGATTTATTCAGGATATGGGAAGAAATGGATCTTATTGAAATTGAGCATGAGAATAGAGGTTCAAGTATAGAAGAAACTAGCTCCAATGATCATAATTTAGTTAGATTATCCGATGAAGGTGTAGCTGAGATGACAACATTTAGGGATCATATTACAAATCAAATGTGGACACAATATAACAACTAGGTAGTATTATTTTATACATATACAGTTGCAAATAGTTATACATACGTTGCAAGATTTATCCTTAATATACATATTCACTTTTTTTATTATGTCAATGTTATTTACTTTTTTTTATGTGATATTATTAAAGTTAACCATTATTTTTTAGGTTAATGTAAATTTATTTTATAATTTCATAATTTACGAAACTCTTAGTATTACAAGTATTATTTTAATTTAATATTAAATTTTGATATTTTAACAATTTTTTAATTCAATATTTTTTAAATATAAAATATATATTTGATTAAATAAAAAATACTAAAATTAAATATTAAATATATATATATATAATCTAAAATACTAAATAAACAATAAATAAAGCCAAACACATTTTATTTTTTTTAGTTTTTAAAACTTATTTTTAAAAATAAATTTATTAAACAATTTTGAGAACTAAATTACCAAACGAAATTTATTTTCATTCTCTTCTTAAAAACAGTTTTTTAAAATTGTTTTCAAATATAATTTTTGAAAAGTATAAAGTAAAACTCAATCAAACAGGCCTAAGTGTTTTAAATTTTGGATTGGATGTAGACTAAAATAAAATTTGTCTCATGAACACTCTTATCTGCTGCAACATGTCGTAATTTCAAATGCCTCAGTTTTTCTTTAGTATTATTTTAGTGAGGCTTGTGGAAGGATAATCAAGATACTTGTTAAGGATAAATGTTAGCAAAACGTAAATAGTGTTTATTGGCTTTACATAATACCTACCATTGGCGAGACATTTTGAATATGTTTGGTTTTATTTTTAAAAACAGTTTTTAGTTTTTTAAAATAAAATATGGTACAAATTTATATTACATTTTATTTTTAAAAAACTAAAAACTGTTTTTAAAAATAAAATCAAACATACTCTTTATCTTTTGTGTTAAGATTTCTTACACAATACTCTCCTAGCCTAACTTGCCTTGTTCTTCACATTCAATTGATTTATTTCTCTCTTTTGAGTCAATATCTCAATCTAATTCTAGTGAAGTCATATAAGAGAGTTCTCCTCTCTCATCATCTTTCTTTGTCTTTTTTTTAATTCTCTATTGTTTCATGTTTTTCATTTCTTTATCTCTTCTTTTCAAATTCTTAAGAATGCAATCCAAAAAAAAAAAGACTATTTAAAAAGGTTATTTGAGAGGAAGAAGATGGCACTTTTAACTCTCCGTCCATCCATATTTTTTTATGTCATTTGAATGCATACATATAAAAGCTAAGCATGCATGTGTGCAAGGAACACAAGAAAAAAAAAGTATTATATATTTTGTTTGGCTAATAATAGGTTGAAATAATTTTTTTTTTTTTGACAAATTGATATGCTATGTTGATTATAACAGTTTTCTATGGTCACCACATTTAAACAATATTATAGTAACAATTAACCATTAAACTTAATTATATTACATAATCTAATTGTCAACACTGTATCTTCCCTTTAAATATACTATATGACTTTATTTGAAATGATTAGTTAAAAAGTTAGCTAAAATTTGTTAGTTGTTCATTGAAAATTGTTGATCTAGCTTATTGAATTAAAAATATACGATAAAATGACATAAAAAAAACCATATTTATATAGCTTACATACATACATATATATATGAATATTAAATTTGTTGATAAAATATATTATTAAATAATTATAATTTGAGTTTGTTAAATCATTTTAAACTTTATCAGTTTTGTTTATAAAATAAATACTTTATTATTGATTAAAATGAACAATATAACAGTAAAAAAAATCAAATAATAAAAAATAGTATAATAATAAAAAATATTTAATATCCTTTGAATTATATTTTATATTAATAGCCCAAAGTAATAAATAAAAAAAACATATCATCCAATGTTCTACAATAAATTAGTAATAATATTGTGATAAAGGAAAATTTTATTAAATCAATAAAAATAAAAATAAACAAAATTATGATAAGTTATGTTGTAAACTATAGATATATAATTGTTTTTCAAACAATTCAATTTTATTTGGATAAACTTATAAATTAATCAAACAATAATAAACTAACTAAAATATTTTATCAAGTATACTCTATATTTTAATAGAGTCTTAAACGTGTTTTTTGTTATTAAGATCAACACTCAATTAGACAATACTTACTTAATGTATAATGAAATTATATTATCAATCTACAGCATATTCCTATTCCTAAGCACAGGGACCAAATCACATAACGAAAACCATATTCCATTTCCTCTTCTAATATGAAAACTATAGAAAAGTAAAGGAATGGTCAGTTTAAAGTTGATAAGAAGAAGCATTATCAAAGTGCAATGGAGAGACAAGAGTCAACCAACCACAAGTCCTCAACTTATTACATTGCTTCTTCCATCCACAGCCTCAGCATTTGGGTTTCCACATAGAATGGTACATTTTGATCTTTAAGAACACTAATTTCCTTGTTCTGTTACCTTCAATTGCCTTGTACCGAAGAGATCTGGTACTTTCACCTCCTTCCATGTCGTTCATACTTCAAACGCTGATTGTTGTTTTTTAATTGCAGACCTTTCTTCATACTTGTCTTCATTTTAATGGACGCTATACTGTAACTTTGTTTCTATATCCTTCCCTTTTTTCCCCTAAATTTCAGCACTAATAATTTTCCTTTTTCAAGCGTTAGAATTAAAACAATTAAATAAATAATTAGGCTTTTTTACATTGGTTTCGGTTACATTGATCTGCACCAAACTCTTAACTACTTTCAGTGCACATATTGAGGGAGGAAACTCCTTGCTAAGGAGAATTTTTGGATTTGTACTAAAATTTGGTCTAAAAATAGATTATTTTTATAAAATTTTTAGGTTGAATTACGCGTTTAGTTCTTATAATTGATATTGAAATATGAATTAGTCTTCATACCAAAAAAAATTATATTTTAGTCTTATTCGATCTTATGTCATTAATTAATAATGGAAGAGATTAAAATATAATAAAATATTTATATAAAAATTAAAATAAATTTTTTTAAATATAAGAAGTAGTTCATAAACAATGTTAAATATAGAGAGCAAATGTATTTTAACTTATTATAAGTCTAAAAAAGTATAGAACACCAAACTGTTGAGAAAATATGTATAATACTCAATCTTATCGTTATAACACTTGATTTTTTACTCATACAAACTTTTACTATATTTTATATTTTCTTTTATCCTAATTTTAGAGAAATAAATAAAATATCAATATTAGTATTTTTATTATAATTTTTTAATTCACAACTATCTCAATTTATGTAGAGAAACTATTCAACTCCAATGAAAAAAATAGAATTTCTAATTTAAAATTTAATTTATTTAATATTTTATTATAATTTTTATATAAAATAATTTAATATATTTTTATAAATTTTATAAGTCTTAAATAAGTCATTTTATCGAGTTTAATAATTTTTTTTAAACTCAAATTTAACCTATTTAATTAATTAAGTTTAAATTAAATTTATTCCTTAAACAAGTTAAATTAGGCTAGACATTAAAAAAATTAAGATATGAACCCTTGTCGTATAACCTGATCTATTCTATTCCTATTTTTATACTAATAAAGTTGGTTCCTTCCATAATAGGTACATTTTAATACATTTCTCTCAAATTTTTTTTTTCTTTCTCCATTAACAATGAAATCTCCTATTATTTTGATCTTTTTATTTATTTATTGATGTTTCATTCATTTAGATGTGGAGTACAAATTCAAATTTCAACAAAACAAAAAATTAGTTTAGTTTGTGATAAAAAAAAATATATACAAATTCAAATTTAAACATAACAATACATTAATTTTGATTTATAATAAAAAAATTCACAATATAAAAAATTTCAAAATTTAAACTTATGGTTCATATTTTAGAGAACGATTAACAAAATTGTTCTCTAATTAATACTTAGAGAGTGATTATAATTTTTTTTTTAATATCTTTACTTTGAATAGTTGTACTTGTTAGAGCGTTTTGAATTGCTCTTTAATATCTTTTATATTATAGTGTGAGAAAATTTAAAATATTTTCTATTATATTTAACTTTTTGTAATTGTTATTTATAATTTTTTTATTCTTAGTTCACATTTAATCATTCTTCATCGTTAATGTCTAATTTTCAAAAATTCTAAACTTATCAGTCCAAACAACTTAAGTATCAAAAGGTTAATATTTTCTTTAAACTTTTAATCGATACATAGAAACATTTTAAACGAGAATGAAATAACTTTTAGTATCATGATCAATAAAATTTATATAGCTGTAGTTGGCTTCTATCACTGCCTATTTTAACAGGTTCATTTTATTATATATTTTTTTCTATATTATTATGTGAAAAAATCCTAAATTTGTGTTGCTTTGAAAAAATACTTCAAACCAATGAATATTTGTAATATTTTTTTAGATGAAAAAGAATTTCTACACCTAACCTATTTTAGAATCACGTTTGTTCATGATAAAATTTAAAGTGATTAAGAGTGACAAAATATTTTATCCACCATTCCGTAATTATAAATTTGATTTATTACTTCTAAAATGATAACACGTGTAAAATAAGAATGTGAACATATATCGATTATTAATATGAATTCCAACATTTATATATGACTGACTTTTAAATCTTTAAGCTTAAAAATAAAAAATAAAATAAAATTCACTATGTTATTTCGATGAGCACAGCATTAAATTATAAATGATACTTTTTTGTCAAACGAGAGGCGCCTGATGCTTTATTTCATTTCAAATATTGGTGAACGGATGGTTGGCTAAGACATCAACTAGAAAAGGCTAACTGACTAAAATTGATTGGAGTCACAAACTCTTGGCCTCCCCCAAACAGAGTCTTTGCTACAAACTCGGAAACTATCTCAGTAGGATGAACCAAATCCCAAAACAAGTGATCCTTACGATTTGTGCAAAGATTAGCCTTCTGGGCTTTCATGCATGGACCCTCTGCATTCAGATATCCAATTCCACAACATGCTGACTTTGTATCATTCAACCCTATAACATGTTGCCCAAGCACCGAAAGTCATATATATGTAAGGATCATATGATAAAATCACTAGATAGACAAATGCTTATTATTAAATTATTATATGTATATATGTAAGGATCATGATATGGTGCTTACCGTGGGCCGATGGGCTCTCTAACAAGGTCGCCGTGATTTTAGATGTGTTGACAAGCGAGTACTTGAACCCTTCCAATTCAGCACTCAAGTTTGGCAGAAAATCTCGAGTTAATGAGTAGAATTCAACTGCAAAATCATTGAGTGCGGTCACACAGTTCCCTCCATTGCCAGAGCTTAACGCAGGACAGCACCCTATGGACGCAGGGCCTAGAATGCCAAATTTCCGAGCCCCTAACTCATAAAGTTTCTGCAATTCGCACACAATAAATGAAATGTAGAATAAAAATAAATGGCATAATTGGATGGTACAAAAGTTATTTAATTAAAATTACGTACCCTTAGATTTAAGTCATATGAGTGTCGCAGAACAACCAAATATCCTTCCTTGCCAAAATGAATGGCACCACTGTCATTACGTGCAAATTCGAAGAGGTCGTTACTTCCAGCGCTAATGACAAACAAAGCCTTTGAAATAAACGTAGTAGCATTTTCTGGTCCCAATTCCTGAGTGATACTTTCACGGACCGATGCAAATTGTTCCACCTGCTTTTCAAGGAAAACCACTTCTCCCTACAAATACACCATTCTCTCCCAATTACCTTTACAAATTATAATCGAGAATAAATATATAAATGTTATATAACGTTAAATCATATTTAATTTATAAATAAAACAATTTCTAAAACGTAACTGAAAGAAGTTAATGAAAGTTGATATGATATGATAATAAATGCGATACATTAAATATAATAATAAATATGTATTGTGAATCAAATATACGTAAAATATAATTATTACAGAATTTGATCACTAATCACGACTCACTGACGTAATATTATAAAATAATTGTATAATTGGATGTTATAGAGATTGAGACTTTTATAAAATAAATGAAACTAATGGACATATATATATATATATATATATATATATATAATATAATATTATTTACTATATATATTATGAATAAAATGTATACAAAATGGTATACTTATTATATTTAATTAAAAATAAATTGAGAGTATAACAATTTTTTTGTTGTCGTTTTATTATAAATTGTTATGCAAACAAGAGTTTTTATTTTATTTTGTGATAATATAAAATTATATTTATTGAATACTTGAATGGTTGAGTATATAAAATTTTTAGTACTGATAGTATATAAAATTAAATTATCACACAATTCAATTATAATTAAATATTATTTTGATAATTTATATTTTATTAATCATTTACAAATAAATATATAGTCACATTTTATAATTTTCTAATAGAATTTTAAAAGTAAAAATATTTATAAAATTTTTTAGAAGACATGTTTTTATAACTTAAAGGTATTTCATTCGAAAAGAATTATGAAATTTTATTAAGTAACTCATATGGTATATAAACTACATTAAAAATTTAATTTGCGATAAAGCATTGTATACATTATAAATGTTGTTATATTTATTTTTAATATATTTTCTTTTCTAACTATAACTTGTTAAAAGGATCATAGTTCATAATTTTTAATCAGGATAAAATATACAAATATTATATTTAAAACATTAAATATAATACAAAATTATTATAAAATCAAATTGATAAAAAAAAAAATCTATCTTTTAACATATATCCGATATGTAAATAAAGTTTAGTTATGAAAATACAAACGTAACGGTGTTATAATAGAAATAGCATTTAATTTAACGCGTAAGTATTCTGATAATTAAGGGATTTATGTTACCATTTATATATACGTAGGAGGAGTTAAGGAAAATATAAACGTCCAAAAATGATCTCGCATTCAACATGTAATTAGTTAAGGAAAATAAAAGGTAAAAAGTTTAAATAAAACATTTATACACATTTCGCGTGCTTAAACAAATTGTAACGATGTTATCATATTACTTATAATATTCTCTGATTCAAATATATTTTCACACACAGATATTCCCTAATAATTTAAAAATAAAAGAAACTTTTTATATCATAATTTTTTTTCCCTTACCCCCTCGAATAATTTTAGTATAATACCGTAACCTTTTATGTTCTAGTTATCCTCTTTTTTAATTTTAATTTGAACGAAGGAATAATATTATAAGCAAAGAAAGAGCAAAAATGTAATGCTACTGGTAATTACCCATTGCAAGGACCCCGTCTGTTGAAGAATTCCAGATCCCGCTGAAGCAAAATTTAGACCCTGCAAAATGTCGTTGAAGCTGTGTTGATTTTTCTTCGTAGCCAAAAATGCTGGTGGACTCTGCTCATAACCAAATTGCCTCGCTAGTTTCCACAGAAGAAAAACAATGCAAGCAAATAAAAAATTCAGTAAAAAAAAAAGATAAACGTACACTTCCAAAAGACTTGTATTAAAATGTATTTACCAATTTGGTCAGCAGTGTTGAAGCCATTGCTGAACCTTCCGGTGGGAAGTGAATCATGGAAATCAATCCCATAGTAGGGGAAGTTGGCCTTTGCTTTAGTGTTAAGAAAATTGTTGGTTCCCACATCAAAAACTGAGTCTCCAAACATGAATAATGTGGGTGCTTCATTTCCCGCAAGGGCTACGTGCATATCAAGCTTGGCCAGAGAGAAGAGGAAAAAGGTAAACACCAGAGCATAATTAACGTATGCCATCTCGAAAGAACCTCACGAAAGCGTTATTAGCTTCTACTCTTTGGTATGAAATGCAAAACTAGTTGGGTCTTTATATAAACGTTGTACGTGCCCAAGAGATTCCTCTAAAACGATAACGTGATAATTTATTTAGGGTTGAATATGCTTTTAGTATTTGTAAAATCAATTAACTTATTTTAATTTTTTTCTATAATAAATATATAAATTAAATAAATGCTAAAAGCCAATAAATATATAAATGGTATAAATATAAATAGATAATAAAAATAATTAATTTAAAATATAATTTTTTTAAAAAAATGTCGTCAAAAAAAATTAGTAAGGATACTTTATATATAGATTTCAATTTTGATCGCTCATTCAATCAACTTATATAGGAAAGCTGATATTAAAGGTTAAAATTGTATCATTATTTATTATATTAATTAATATAACTTAGTAAAAACAAAAGGTATTCAAAGTAAATATATATTTTTAACTAAACACGTTAGTTATTAAGAATGAAATTATAAAAACATAATTATTTTTTAATTTTATAAAATAATTACAAAAATATAAAATAATAGAAAATATTAAATTATAACTTACAAAAACTTAAAAAGTCAAGAGTGTCTTTTATACCTCAAGCAGGTTTACCTTAGTTTTAAAAACAAAGTTACTTTCAAAAAGATAAAAACAAATAAGAAAGATGTGATGCAGTATAATAAAACGTTAAATAAGTATTGATAATATTATTTAAAATTAAAAAATATTTTTAAAAAACTAAAATATAATAAATGTTGTGTTGGGAATGGTTACCAAGGTTGAGGCATAGATTCACGTCTTGACCCAGTGAAGTGGGAACCCAAAGCTTTGAGTGAATCGTCACAAAGGTGGCTTCTACTTTGCTCAAACTCAATTTGGGAAATTCATCTATTATTCCCACACCCAGTGCGCCGCTCTTTGAACCCATCTCCTTTGTCGCATCATCATCTATTGACCCTCTCGGTCTCATTGGTTTGTCACGCACAATGGTAGTGGCAGAGGCATGAGTTGGAGCATGTCGATGTGGTGTCTCGTAATTGATCGGGGTACGAAATTGAAATTCAACGATCTGCAACACAGATCTAATCAAAGACAACAATATTGATTTAGGGAGGAGAGCTAAAGAATTCAATGGTGGAACGGAAGTATAGACAAGGGGGTAAATTTGGTGGGCATCTTGGGAAAGTTCTTAATAATTCACGTCTTACTTTCTTACAAATTTTTCACTTGTTATTGGTGTCTCGAGTTTGTGGCGGGTGTTTCAACGATGAGGAAAGGTGGTTGATGTTTTCATACCACAACAGAGTGACAAACTAGGATGTCACTTTGGTTTTGTGCGCTTTGTGGATGTTATGAATGCTAAGAGTTTGGAGGCTAAGCTTAGATCCATTGTCATTGGAAGGATGCGCTTGTCTATCAACTTAACGAGACATGCAAGAGAGAAAACTGTGGATCCAATGGTGTTTACGGAGGGTGATGAAATGAGGCACTCCTTTGTCACTAGGGCTACAAAGACGTCAGGTAATACGTATGCGGACAAGCTTAAAGCATTCCATCTAGATGAGACACACACAGGACAAAAGTGGGTGGAAAAGAAGAAACCTTGGGCTCACCTTGAATTTGAGGTGGATGAGGGGCAGATTGAGGAGTGTAGAGGTGCTATGGTCGGGCGCCTTAATAGAAAACAAGATTTGAAAAGTATGCGAGGGGCTCTCCTACTGGAAGATATATTAGATACTAATCTCACGGCCATGGGTGACAACATGGTGTTGATGGAATCTGATGCAGGGGTATATTTAGAGGATACAACATCGCTCAACAAATTATGGTGGGACAAATGGTTCTATGATCTATGGGAGTGACACCCAAGTATGATAGCTTTGCGGAGGGTGACTTAGGTACATTGTTATGGGGTCCCTTTGCATGCTTGGGGTGAATTATTCTTTCGTAAGTTAGGTACTACCATTGCTGAGCTTATCAAGCAAAACATTACAGTGAAAGTTAATTATCGTTTTTACTCAATAGTCATGCTTGAAGAGCATGCCTGTGATGTTGTAGCCGCAATAGAGGAAGGCATAACTAACTCTTCTGAGGACGGCAATGACTTATCTGAGGTTGGTTCAATGGAGTTGGAGGTCTTGGATAACTATTCTAGTGAGGAGGAAGGTGTGTTGCACGGTAATATCGAAGGTAAGGATTATTTGGTTGATTCTGTGATTAGAATTAAAGTGTCAGTGTCAGTAAAAAGGTGCTTGATGGATGAGGGTTTGGGGGCTGGTGGTGCTGATGATACGGGTTCGATGGTGGTTACCTTCAAAAAATGTGGAGAGGGGAGGCCCAATAGCAAGGCCTTGTCCGTTGCAAGAGGTGGTTAGAGATGGGTTGAATCTATCAGACCCGTTTAGATTAGACGCATTGATTTGAAAAAATCTAGAATCAAGGAGTAAGGAGACAATTGGGACAGCACAAGCAGACCATTTTCAATCCAAAACTTGTATTGAAAAAGAGAGGGTGAATGCCGTGAATCTCTTCGGAGGGCACGCTCTGTGAAAAATAGTCGAGGTGATGAAGGAGGAAACATACATAAAAGCACGATTTCCATAGACTCCCCTAAAAAAACCTTAGGGATCATAATAGAGATGTGTCAATGCCGTCGCAACTTAAAAGGAAGGTATTGCTAGTTGATGAAATTCTGGCTAATGCATCCTTCCGATCCCATAGTGGGGGCGGGGAACATGTCCTTAATTGTTTTGGAGGAAAAAAAGAATACTAAAAAGAAAAAAATCAGAAATAAAAAGAGAAATTACATCATAAATTTAATTTTCACCCTCTATTGCTATTCATATGACCGAGAGCTAGACATTCTTGTAAAATTAAATCACATCAAGGTATTTTTCTTTATACATAAAGTTTATGTTGTGTTTGATATCTCCTCTAGATTAAACCCGTTGTACAATGGGTGTGAGAAAACAATCAAATGGTAGACATAGAAAGTTACGAACGTTCATTAATTATATAGCCTTTTTTTTTCTTTTTCCAATATTTTATTAGTATTATTTTATTATTATATTCAAGTTAATTTAAGATTGAAGTGAAAGAAGTTTAAGAGTGCTAGCAGAAGAACAAGCGGATCTAGATCGCTTACAATTTTGGCATAAATTGTAGGCTGCGATTTTCTATTCGCTTAAGCGAAACAAAATTTGCTTAAACAAATTTGATAAAAAATGATTTTGGCTTGAGTCAAAAAAAATTTACTTAAACAAATTTTGCTTAAGCCAACAAAATTCGCTTAAGCGAATTTAGCTTAAACCAGAAAGAGTGGCAAAATAATAAGAAGAAGAAGAGAGAAAATGAGGCTGAGAGGGAGATAGAGGCAAGAATACAAGGGAGAGGGAGAGAAGAAGAAGGCTAATAGAGGAAAGTGAAAAGGGCTGGATAAGGAGAGAAGAGGAGGGGGATGAGTGGAGGTGAAGGGGAAGAGAGCTAGATGAGGAGAGAGGGGAAAAGAGATTGGGTGAGGCTGAAGGAAGAAGAAATGGGGAAAGGGAGGGAAGAAAGGGACTAAGTGAGGGAGGAAGAGGATAACTGGGTTAGAAAAAGAGGAAAAGGAGAGGGGTTAGGTGGGAGAGGAGCAGAGGCTGAGTGGGTGGGTGAAAGAGAGAGAGGAAGAGAGGGAGCCAGAGGAACGAAAGAGAAAAAAACATCTTCTTTTTCCTTCATATTTTCACTTAAGCAAATCTAGATTCGTTTAAGTCAAAATACGCAGAAAGAAGAAGAGATTGCAATTCTCGCCAAAACTACAGGCGATCTAAATCTGAGAACAAGCACGCATCAATCAAATTAAGGTGCAGTTTCCTTATTTTCTTTATAATTTTCGGTTGGTTATATTTTTTTTAATTTTATTTTATTTTAGAAATAGTTTTGGGTTTAGCAATTTGTTCCAAAAATAAAATTTGAGCTATTTTTGTTTACCTCTTTTTTTCTTTTTTATTTCTTTTACACTTTGGACTTATCTATTTGCCTAAAATTGTTATTGACGTGTGTTAGACTCTCTTTTTTTTTTTGCTCTAACCTATCTTTCTCTTTCTCTTTCTAGTTTGAGGCTAATTTATTTTTTTAAGCAATAATTGTTTTATTATTAATGACTCAACTTACATCATATTTTTTACATTTATATATATATATATATATATATATATATATATATATATATTACTTATTATTTTTTCTTTAAATTTAATTATTTTAATATTATTTATTGATTAACTCCAAAGAATAGTGATAATAATAATAAATAATTAAATTTGATTTATGTATCATGTAAATTTTTATTCTTATAATTATAGTATATTTAATTTCACTTTATTAATTATTTATTTATTATGTAATTTCTTTGTTTTTATTCTAATTGTTTTTTTATAATTTGTTATTATGTTTTTAGCATCGTTATCCTTTATTTTATTGCATAATTTCGTAATGTTGATGTAATTTGATTTTATATTCATGTTCTACACTTTTATTTTATATTTATTAAATTATATTTTTAATTTATATTTGTTAAATAAATAAATAATATATATTTATATTAATTTATAACATTAATGTATAACTTTTTTTAAGTGTTATATGTTATAAATTAATAAATACTTAAATGTATGTATATTACCTAAATTTTGTGCGATAAAATCCAATACATTTGAATTTTAATCAATGCGTAATTTATAATTTTTTACAATATTGATAATTCCTGTTTATTTTTCTGTTGTTTTAAACTTATAACACTACTCACCAAAAAAATAACCTAAGCTTTCTTTATCAGAATTTCGGATTTTATTGATCTCTCAAAGCAGTGGACTTAAATTGTCCCAAATTTATCAACAAAACTCATCTTCAGACCAATTTATTTTAGGTTATTTTTTAAAAAAAGATACATAATTTTTGTAATTATTAAACTTCACGGTCTAAAATCAAAAAAGCCATTAAAATCACTCTTTTATGATAAACCAATCCGATATATTTAGGAGTTGTTTGAAAAGGAAAATTTTAGAGGAGAAGGCAAAACAAAATTTATATTTTAAATAAATATATTTAAAATTAATATTTTTTAAAATAAAAAATAAAAATTAATATATTAACAAAAATTTAATGTATTAATAATATATATTTTATTATAAATAATATATATTTTTTAATTTAAAATTTAAAAAATATCCTCTCCTCTATTTTTCTCGAAAAATCTTTTTCCAAACATATTCTTAAGAAAAAAGAAAAGAGGTCCGGACCCTCTAACCCTTAGACCATAAACATTTCATGATGCAAAATTAAAATAACTAAGGGCTAAAATTAATTATTTACTTAACAAATAATAACAATAACAACACTATATCTTTCTTATTGCTCAGTATATATGTTTCTGTGTGTTCCTTTCTTCCCGTTTTATAGGACGTCTTATCATCGTGAATGGTGGGAAGAAATCAAACTCGAATCGTCAGCGCCTCTCATTTTACTTTTTTCGATTTTCTGATCTGATATTTTTATTATTAAATAAAACAAGAAGAGCTATATTTCTTTTTGTACTGTAACAATAAGATAAAATAAAAATAAAAGATTAATAAATAACTAAAATAATAAAAAAAATGCACTTAATAGTAGATAAACCAAAGTAAAACAAAATTAATTAAAAAATAAATACAAACTCAAATAAAATTAGATATTCACATGTATACTCATTCCTCTTAAATTATATGTTATTGTACGATGCTTTATAAAATTTTTGGTCACTGATCAGGTTAGTCCGTCAACAATTTAAAATGTTATCATATTATTATTCCTTTAAAAATTTTATCACTTAACTAATCTCTAGAAGATTTAAAATATTATCATATTAGTCATAGACAAATTAAGTCTTAAAAGAGAAAGATCTACACGAAAGATAAAATTAGAGAAAAAAGAATTTTTCAGAGATTTTTAATTTAGAAAGAGGTTTAATTTTTGCGAAGTTAATTTTTAGACACAATCTTTAGAAGACTGAGACGGTGGCAAAAAAATATTAGGACCAAAGTTATTAAAAAATATTATGATGATGCACATGATTTTTAAACAATACAAGTTTTTTCTTATAAAATAATTCAGTAAATTAATAGTATATATTAATGTTTTTTGCTAACAAAATAATTTGTTAATATAATATATCATTTTGTTAGTGAAAACTAAAAATATTTATATTAATAATTCAATTATTCTTAAAAAATATACCACAGAAACTAATTGATTCAATATTAAACTGATAATAAATGACAGCTATTTTGTGACTATTCAATTTCGCCATTTTCGACAAGTAGATACATTATAAAAAAAAATATTGTATTTATCACTCAACCACAAAATGCTATGGTTGTTAAATAATTTATTAACTTATTTATAGTTCTATTCATCCAAAAATAATTTACATATGACGCACATTTTAGGTTATAAACCAAAAAAAAAAAAAGTTTGTTCTTTAAGACTATAGCTTTCGCTGTCTTGGATGTTTATTGATTAGGTATTTAGTTTTGGATTATAAAATCCAATTGGTGAAGATCGATGGAAAATGGATCATGAATCCTCAACCAGTAGTCTAAAATTAATGGGTGTTACAAATTCACTCCCATTGTTATAGAGCATAGAGGCAGCAAGAGTAGAAACGTACTCCGTGGGATGGAACTGGTCCCAAAACAAGTAGTTGTTGTGATTCTCGCACACAGTGGCATTAGGGCTGCATGGGACTCCAATCAATCCACTAACAAGGAACGTTTGATTTCCACAGCATGCTGATGTTACATTATCCAAATCTTCACAAACAAAACAAATTATACCGTTTTAGCAAAGAAACGTTATAAGGAAGAAATGCTATTTATCTCGATATGTACTCATAAACATGAACCTCACTCGTAGCTAAGCACTTGCTTTTCTTTTGTCTCGCATGCATTAGACAAGAAATCCTTAGTAACGTTATTTATGCTTTTGGGATGACAGTTCAAAGTTATCAAATGATTTTAAAGTTAGGAATGTCCAATCTCATGATTGGTACGGGGTTACAACAGAATATTAGTAAATATAATTTATATCTACAAAATAGTTTATGTTATCATCATATTGAGACAATTTTTATTCTTGTCTATAGGAACGGAGGCAAGGGAAATTTCATTTCTATGTCGATGGAATACATTTTGTTTGGTGAAAATTTCTCAAAAATTTACCTTTTTAAGTCTATTTTTAACAATTATATTAATATTTAAATAATATCTTATATAAAAGGAGTATATTTTGAGAATTATAATATCTAAATTTAAAAATATGAATTGAAAACCAAACATTCTCAAAAGTGAGTGAAAAATTAATTTGTATTATAAATTTATTTATAAAAGCTATACAAAGTTAATATAATTATAAAATGATATTTTTTTACCGTAATATTTTTCTTAATAAAAAATATACATTTTAACATTTTGAATACTATATTATATAAAATATTTTTAAAAATAAACAATATTAAAGGCAGAAAAAAAAAATGTAACAGTCCACAGAAACAGTTGAAAATCGCAATTTTTTATTCAAGAAGTACAGGTTTAGGCCCCCCATCAATTTTTCCCCTTGCCATCACAAGAAAACAAAACATCCAAACGCTAAAACATTTTTTTCATCCCTTTTCCAATCCAATTAATTTCTGTCCATTAATTTTCACGCAAAACTAACAGAGCATAAATAATTAGGATTTTGTACCTATTTCTCCAAGTTAATGCAGCCTTAACAAACTCAAACAATAAACCCTTTGAAATTATTGTGACTTACTACAAAATCAGGGAGATATCAGACTACTCTAAAAAAACACTATCGAACATAACATTTTATAGCAACTTTTGTTCTTTCAAAATGTAAAGGCACAACACTGATTTTAAGTCTCATAAGTATCCACATGTTATTTAACGTAACTACTTAGTAATTCACAACTGAGAGTTAATATTTCCAAATAATAAAAACTAAAAGTAATTGATGAATGACAATCTCATAGTCTGTCGAATGATTTCTAAGATAAAAAGATAAAATTGCACTATGAAACTAATTTAGATGTACTCTAAAATTTTTAAAATGGAATTTATTGAATTTTAAATGATAAACTAAACAAATTTTGTAAACCTTTCCCGTTAACCTTTTCTCTGAAAATTTAGTCTTGAAAACAAATTTATGGCGTGTTTGTATAACACTACTAAATTTATCTTATATATTTTTCCTTCTATTCGTTCATAAACAAATTAATCAACGAGTCAAACCAAACATGACGATTGATGTATGAAATTAAACCAAAGGTATATCCTTTTTCCTGGAATAGTGTCAGAAACTTACGAAGTAAATCAGCATTATTTATCATGGTAAAGGTAATATTATATGAATCTCCAAGTGAGTATTTCATGCCTGGGCACTCTGAGCTCAAATTTTGTAGCATTCTATCTAATTGCACGTGGAAGATTTGAGCAACATCATTAATCTCGTTGACACAATGAGTACTTGGATCGGCAAAGGCAGAGAGAATTGGGACGCAACCTATAGGAGGAACACTTAATATGCCAAATTTTCTAGCTCCAAGGTCGTAGAGATTCTGCGATGTAAGACAATGTACAAGGAAAATAAATATAGATAGTTTCTTACACACTAGTTATTAAGTATCAAATATCAATTACTATTCAACAAAAACAAGAGAAAAGTGTGAGGTGACATACCTTGAGATGAGCTTGGTAATTACTCATTAGCTTAGAGATGAATTCCAGCACCTTTAGTGTGGATTTACCAGGATTCTTATCTATATTGAAGAAAAAGAAATCAAATATATCGTTGCTTCCCGCACTTACAAGAAAGAGAGATTTATTAATTGTGGCCTCTGCAGAGCCATTTAGATATTGTGAGATATTGTCGTGAACAGTTTTGAATTGTTGGATCTGATCTCCCATCGATACTACATCGATCTGTTTCAACACATCATAGTTATTTTAGTTTGGTTGCCGGTAAAATTGCATATATTGTTCAACTTCATTACAACAAAATAGTTTTAAAAAAATTAATTTTCTTTTCCAATCAATATTGTCTCTTGATCTGATAATATTTGAACAATTAAAATATAAATTCCCAGCGTTAGTGGGTTAACAACACATTAAAAAGTATAGAGCTGTATTGCCTCCCTCACTTATAGATCTAACCTATATCCAATTTGTTATTATGCTTCAAAATCAAATAATCAATACTATGACCAAATTTAGATGAATACAACATGTTTGAGGTGCTTTTTTAGTTTTATGTTTTCAAATTTTTTAAAAAAAATTAATTTTATGATTTTTTGATTCTAATTTTTTAAATCTAAAATATACAAAGAATTCACTACATAGTTAATTTTATGATTATAACAAACGGACAGGGCCGTTCTTAACCTTTTTGAGATCGTAGGCAAAATAAAAAATTATAAAATGCAATAAACAAAATAAAATTATATATTAATAATTTTATTAAAATAATACTTTTTCTTAAGTAACTATAATTTTTTTCTAATAAAATTATAAAAAAAATATTCTTTCATTCAATCAACTCTTATGTTATAATTAACTACAAAAACATAGAAGATCATAAAAAATGAGTTCTACGAGCATTCTGAGATGCAAAATCATTAATGATAACATTAACATTAATGTTTTTAAAAAATTCTTTATCGATTGATAAAATTGTGAGACCATTTAACGGTTCTTGTAACATTGATGACCTTAGGTAGGTTTTGTTTAACTTTAAAAAACTTCTTTCAGTTGATGATATAATCACTGTGATCGTAAAAAAAATTCTATAATTGATTAAAACATTTAAATAACAATCTGCAAATTTGACAAACTCAATAACTATTTAATTTTTTGGAAAAAAAACTAAAATTCTCCATGAGATTTAATGTTAAGAATAGTAAAATTTTGGAATTAAATAAAGTTTTGAGTCTACAGAAGTCAATGAGTCGGCTACATTTATAACAAGTGAGGTGCGAACAATTAAAAAGTTTTTTGTGTTTTTCTATTTTTTCTAACTACAAACTGTAAGAGTTAAAAAAAATTTTCAAGTAAAAGTAGGACACGATTTTTACTTTGAGCCCTCTTTTAAGTTTGGGCCCTAGGCGATCGCACCTCTAAACTACCCTCAAAACCGAGCCTACAAACGGATAATAGTAGTTGTAGTAGTAGTGCATCAGTGGGTTGTAGATGATTTCAATAGTGATAATCAATGGTAATAAATAGTTAGGAGAAATAATTATAAAAGTAGTACAAATTATAGTAATGATGGTTATGACGATGATATTAGTGAGGATGGTAGTAACGATGAAAGATCATGATAATGCTGAGAATAGTAATGATCATAGTTGTAGTGCAATAGTGATAAGTGATCATGCTAGTGGTAATTAATGAGGGTGGTAATGGTGTTGAAAAGGAAGGTAATAGTAGCACGATAATAATGGTGATAGCAACAACAATAATAGTAATAAGAACAACCAATGGATAATACATGAAAGTTGTAACTAATGATAATGATCATGATAATAATAATAATAATAATAATTGTGACAATAGTAGTAATTAGTTATGACAATAGTTGTGGATGTGACAATGATAAGGGTGTTTTTAGTAATTACATTGTTGCAATGTTAATAATTTTGGGTAATTATAATGATGTCAATTAGCAGTGGTAATATCACAAATGAAGATGATGATAAGTGATTAGAATGATAAGAGATAATAATGAACATAGTAACAAATAATAGTCCATGTAGTGGTAAAATGATTATAGTAATAATAATTAATGATGATAGATGTGATAATTGTTACAACAATAATTGAGAAGGTAATAACAATAATACAATAGTGGTGGTGACAATAATAATAATAGTAACTATATAGTTGATAAGTAGTTATTGCAATAACAATTTTAACATGTGAAAGTGATAAAAATGATAACAAGATTAGGATATTTAGATCAATTGAATCAATTATTTTTACAACTAAAAATTAGCAACTAAATTTTTTTTATTTGATTCTAGAAATTGAGCAAGATTATTTTGAAACTAATTAAAAATCAATTTAACTTCATTCTGATTAAACATATTTATTTACATTTAAAAATCAAATATTAAAAACTTGAACCTAGTTCAAACAAGTCCTTAATTAGTACAAAGTCTCAAGTAAATAATGACAGATATTTTTGTTAATATTAAATACATTATTAAAATAGTTACTGAATTAAAAATAATGTTTTTACATCATTATTAATTCAAGATTTTGATTACAAAAATAAAGGAAACTTGATTTAAATATTGTTATTAATAAATAAAGGCAAACACTGTTGATAAGTAATTTATTTTGTATTGAAGAATTGACGGAGTAAATCTACTTAAAGGACTTGCTGCTTCCTTGTTAAAAAAAGAGAGTTTTCTTCTTCTTCTTAGTATCAAAGAGGTGGGTAGAAGTGGTAAAAGGAGACAGAGTTTACATAGTTTTGTTTTCCTGTCTCGGGCAGGATCCCTGATCCTCCTGAAGCAAAATTGACGCCTTTAAGGATGTGGCTCTTGAAATTTTCTGTATCACTGTTGAGTAGAAAGAAATATGGAGGAGGGCTCTCGTCAAATCCTAGTAATTTCACTGATGAAAAAGAAAATGAACATTAGTGTGGTTGATATATAAGCATTTATGTAGAACTGTAATATGGTTTCATAAAGTAAAAGTTTGATATATAATAACAAGTTTTGTTCAATTAAGTAATGATCAAAGAAGGGGCTAATAATACCAATGCGATCAGCAGTGTTATAGCCATTGCTAAACCTCCCAGTGGCGTTTTTGTTAGGAAAATCAATCCCATAAAATGGCATATCAGCTCTGGACTGTGAATCATTCAAAAAATTGTTGGTACCAACATCTAAAGTCGAGTCTCCAAACAGGAAAACTGCAGGTACCGCTGATTCAGTGTTCCAATTCAAACACGACCCAACCATAGCCAGAAATATGGCTACGAAGAGATATAACATAGCCATCACTTAACCACAGAGGGAATTGCTATATGCCTATTTTTCAGTTCAAAGATTGATGTTTTGGTGCATGCTTTGGTCACTCGCTACCAATATATAGCTAGAAGTGGACTACACAAATATGCGAGTGTTGTTGTCAAATGGGCTATTCTTATAATTGCTAGCTGTACAAAGATCCATTCGGTTCTGGAACAGAATGATCTTTTCTACTTTTACAAAATTTAGTAGCTTTAGGCGATGAATTCTATTCAGAGTGATGAAATCTAAACGAGGCGCTGCAGACGCTTGTTCCCGAACAAAATCCAAGGAATTACAGGTTAAAGTTAGCGTTTCGTAATACCCGTTTATTTTTATTTAAAAGCAATTTTTTTTATTTTTCCAGTTTATATCATACTTAGCTGTAACTCAAGTGGTCAAATCATCACGCACGCATTATTGGACGGATCATATTACACTGCTTAAGTAATAAAACATCCCATACATACTTGACACTTACAACACCAACACCAGGTGTAGAAGATGACAAATTCACTCCTTGTACCATTAATCTTTTATAAAGAGAGAATTTTCTCTTACTTGAATATCAAAGTATTTCTTGTAAAAACATTACTGATCAAGCTAATTTGAAGTATCGTAAGAAATCATCAACTTTCATCCACCTCCAGAAACTACTAGGATCAAGTATTTAGACCGCGCTCAATACTTAGGTCTGACCATTAAACTAAAATTTAACCTTATTTTACTATATATTTTAGATTAATTTACAAAATTTAATTAAAATATTGTTTAAAATTTTAAATTAGAAATTATATGATTTCTATTCAAATTATTAAATAATTAAATTTTTAAATAAATTTATTATAAATTAAATTAATTTGTACTTTTTCTATTTTATAAAACAATTTAAAATGAATAATTCCTTCAAGAAGTTAATAAATTACAAAAATTGGATAAGAGGATGGGCATCCCAACACTCAGATTGGGCGTTCTAACGTCCATTTACAGAAAAATAGAACTCAGCAAACAACCAAACATTACAATGCTGGATTCCAGTGTTAAAACACCCATAGCTTGAGTAGCTTGAGATTAACGTGCGTTTCAACATCGGCTTTCAGTGTTGCATGCTTATTTTCCCTTGCAAAATGTTAAACAAAGGCTTCAAAGTGTTCCAACACCCATTCCAGCATCCCAACACCTATCATGACTATGAAGTTTATAAATATTGGGGGCCAATTTTTAGATATCTTGGGATAAATCTTAGATCTAATCTCATATCATCATTTTAAGAATTTTCTTAGCTTTAGATTTTCTCTCCGTTAGAGGTTTGGGAGACTTTTTTTTGTCTTTCCAAATTCTCTATAAAATTTTCTTATATCATCATTATGTATTGTATTGTTTAGACATTTGTGTTTCAAAATGATTCTAGGATGAATTTTAGATTAAAGTTTATGTAATTTTTTTCTAGTTGTATTCAATTAAGATTTTCTAGGACTTTGCAAAGGATTATTCATTTTCTTGATACATCAATTGATTTAGTTCACTTGTATGATTGTATCATTAATTACAATAGACATATTAGTTTAATATTTAAATTTAGAGTAAAGTCTTCTTACTTTTGCATTTCTTAGACACAAGGATGAAGTTGCATTGTGGTTATTAATATTTCTTGTTGCACATGCTATTATTAGTTGAATTTTGCTAAGACAATAGGTTTCTCTAACTAGAAACTAGGGTAGAGTGTTGAGCATCAGATTTTATTACACAAGTAATTTGGATCGTATAAAGAAGACTAGAGAACTAGAGAACTGAATGAAATTTGTTGTTTTTGTTTTGGTTTTGCATATATAATTCATTTATGCATTTAATGCTTCCTATGGATTAATTGAAAGTGTAATTCACAATAGACACGCTGGTTTTATATCTAACCTAAACTGAATTTCATTGTTGTTCTAGCTATCTAGATATAGAGGTTAAAGTTACAATGTTGTCAATGTAATCAAAGATCATTCAATCCTTGTGTGAATACTAAAATGTACATTTATTCTGCATGAAGTAAGATTTATAAAAATTTCTATGCAACAGTGTTCATGTGTTTGTTGTTATGTTATATTGTTTTGTATTTATTTTGTATTATTTTGAATCATATGCATCTTTCTACATTTATTCCATTATTCTATATTCATTGCTCTTTTTTTTTTTGCATATTAATCTTGCAACATTAATCTCCTTAATTGTAAATATTTTAAATAACTTTTACTAAGTTAATTTACAATTTTATTTTCTTCTATACATAATCTAATATTTAAAGAACTATTATTGACTAATTGGTTCAGTCCTCATAAAAACGATAATTCTATTTATACTTATTAAAATGATGGGTGCACTTGTCATTGTTGTTTACATATGCTTTGTAAATTATTCAAATTCAACACATCAATTATTGATGTCGTTAGTAAGGAACCTGCCCTAGGCCAAAATCACCTTGAAATATCCTTCTTAAACAACATCCCACTTCTTTTTGCTAATTCAATGTAGATGTAAAAAATCCTCAACTTAGGTCCACCCACAGGCTTATTTTGTAATATGTTAAACAAATTATGGTTTTTACATCATAGTGTATGATTAGTATTGGAAATCTGGGGTTAGCTTGAGCTCTTGTACTGTCGTTTGGAAGGTTGAAGGTAGCTTCTTGAGGTGTTCTAGTGATCTCTAAAGGGAGGTGTTCCTGTAGGAAATATTCTAACACTCAAGTTAGTAGAAATTTGTCTAGAGTAAGAGTATAAGGTTGTAAGATTGCATTACTAGGTTTAGAGAATTCTCTCTTTATATAGTATTAGCACATTTGTTGTTTAGTACATCTGACATTGTAACCATTAGGTATGAAATGTGTCTTGCATTTGTACGCTAAGTCATGACATTCTTGATAAAATTGTCACTTATCAAAAGTGTCATAACATGGATATACATGTGCAAAAATTAGGTTATCTCGAATGAGACCAAGATGGACTTCATCTGAATAAGGTCTATCCATGATGAGTATAAACCATTATGGGTGCATGGCTGTAATTGTTGGTATGTTTGAGGGATCTGCCTTTTATGGTGGACCTAGGGAGAGCGACAATGATTTTGCATGTTTGACCATTTGTCCTTTATGTCGGGCTTGCCACAAAGGAGGAATACTAAGATGAGAGGAGTAAGGTGTAATATGATTTTGGTTTTTAAGTGTTGCCCAAAGGAATTGTAATGTTCTTAGGCCAAGGTGAAACTTGAACCTAGTTTAAGGTGAACCTTGAGCTTTTATTGAGGGGAACCTTGAACCTAGGCCAAGGTAAAACCTAAGGCCTTTTTAGATGCTCTTTACACTTAGGATGAGGTGAGCCTTGAGCCTAGGTTGGTGAACCTACAAGCCTTTTATTTTTCTCTCCACACTCAAGTCAAAGTGAATCTTAAGGTCCTTTCTAAAGCTCTTCATACATTGGCCGAGGTGAACCTTGAGCTTAGGCCAGGATAAATCTAGAGGCCTTTTCTTATGCTCTTCATTCCTTCGCCAAGGTCAACCTTGAGCTTAGGGAGAGGTGAATTTTGAGGTCCTTTTTAGTACTTTTCACACCTAAGTCAAGGTAAATTTCGTAGTCTTCACACCTTGGCTAAGGTGAATCTTGAGGCCTTTTTCAATGCACTTTTCACCTAGGCTAAGATGATTCTTGAGACCCTTTTTGAGTGTTTTTCACACCTTGGCCCAGGTGCTTCTTGAGGCCTTTTTTGGTGCTCCTACACCTTGGCCAAGGGGAACCCTACCTTGAGCCAAGATGAACCTTGAGACCTTTTCTAATGCTCTTTACACCTAGGTTGCAATGAACCTTGAGTTCCTTTTCAAGTGCTCTTCACATCTTGCTTGAGGTGAAGATGTGGGCCCTTTTCGAGTGCTCTTCACATCTTTGGTAAGGGTGAATCCTGAGCCTAAGCTGAGGTGAACCTTGAGACCATTATTGATGCTTTTCACACCTTGGCAGGGTGAATCATAAGCCTAAGTCAAGGGAAAACTCAAGGCCTTTTATAGTCCTCTTCACTCCTTGGCTGGAGTGAACCTTGAGGCCATTTCTGGTGCTCTTCACACCTTGGTTGGGTTAAACCTTAAGCCTAAGTTAAAGTGAATCTTGAGGCCTTTTCTTGGTGTTCTTCTCATCCTAGCCGAAGTGACCCTGATCCTAGACTAAGGTGAATGTTCAAACCTTTTTGGTGTTATTCACACCTAAACAAAGGTGAATTTGGGGATCATTTCTTATGCTCTTCATGCCTTGGTTGTGGTAAACTCTAAGCCTAGGCCAAGGTAAACCTTAAGATTAGGCTAAGGTGATCTCTCAGCCTAGGCCAAGGTGAATCTTAAGGCTTTTCTTTTTTTTTTGGTGCTTTTCACACCTTGGCCAGGGTGAACCTTTAACTTAAGCCTAAGTGAATCTTGATTGTTTTACAAGTATTTCTTATTGGTATGAGGTATTTCTCCATAGTAGTTCTGAGAATAGTTTTACCAGTTTCTATGGACAACGCCAATGATTACTACCATAAATATGGGGTTGGCTTGAGCTCTTATATTGGTGGTTTTGAAGGTTGAAGGTAGCTTCTCACGGTGTTTTGGGATCTCCAAAGGGTTGTGTTTCTACATGTAACACTCTAACACCTAAGTTGGTGGAAATTTGGCTAGGGTAAAGATATAAGGTTGTAAGATTGCATACTTAGACTAAGAGAATTTCCTCTTTATATAGGCATTAGTATATTTTTCGTTTAGCACACTTAGCATTGTAATTGTTAGACACAAAAATGTCTCTTGCATTTGTGTGTCATGACAAACCTAATAAAGTTGTCACTTATAAAAAGTGTTAGAATATAGATGTGCATGTACAACGATTAAATTATCTCAGTTGAGGCTGAGATAGATTTCAATATGAATAGGGGTCTATTCATGGTGAGAACAAATTCTTGTAGAGTCATGAAAGAATGCATGACCGCAATCACTAATATGTAGGAGGAAATATGCCTTTTTGTGGTAAATGATATTTTGACATATTTTTATAACTTATATTTTGATGAATGATCATTATTTTACTTGATTTTTGCACTAATTTCTATGATTATTGTGCAGATTAATATGAGAAGGCTAAGTTCAATTTTTGGTATATTTTAGGCCTAAATTGATTGAAAAATAGGGCTTTGCTACAGTCAGCACACCCAGACCATAACAGCCAGCACGGGAGTGCTTCGACTACATGCACGGTCGTACTTATGGTCTTTCACGAATGTGCTCACCTGTAGAAAGCCCAAATTTCAAGCAATTTTAGAGTTTTTAAACCCTATAAAAGAACCTCAAGGGGAGCGATTTAGGCATCTTTTTCACCTTTCACATTTGGCATCTCATCCCTTCCACACCTTTATCATATCTCTTTCACATCTCTAACCTTTCTACTGCCCAATCGCTAAAGACTATTTGAGCTTTGGAAGTGCGTCGGATCAAGAACTCTCGTCGTCTCTTATCTATGAGAGATTTTTCTAGTTTGCATTTACTCTTCAAGTTCAATGGATTTGTTTAGTGTTGTTTTGATTTCCTTTTATATTATGTTTGACTAAATCCATAGCTAAGGAAATGGTAACACTTTGCATAACTTTATGAGAAATTTTTTATTAATAATAATTTCACGTTTTCTTCATTAATTGGTGTTTACCCTATTGTGTTATTTTTGTATGTTTAATATATCATAATTAATTAGGTCATTAGCGAATGTACCACACATAGGTAATAGTTCTATAGGATAAAATGAGACAAAAGATTAAGTGAGTCAAATCAATATTTCTCTTCAATCGTTATTAAATAAACAACTCATAGACTCTTTATGTTTTCTCTTCCTTTTTTACCTTACATGATTATTGTGGGTAATAGTTTAGAAAAAATATTATTAACATGCATGACCATTGGGTTTAATATCTTTAGTATGACTCGATTGACAATTATAAGAAAATTAAAATTATAATTAATCTTAAAAAAGAACATAAAAAATTGTAGAAATGAAACTATACGCTTTAGATTCTCTTTGATTAGTTTATTATCAAAGGTTACACTATTTTTATTTCTATTTTATTCGCTTTTATATTTAAAATTTTGTTTTATTTAACTTTATATCATTTAAGTTCAAATAATTAAATTAAAAAAATTTAATAATTAAAAACAATCTTTATGAAAAGATAATTTAGGAACTTATTTTTTAGGGTGAATAAAATATATTGATTTCATTGTATAACATTGAATGATCACATGAACATATAATGCTCACCTTTTATGAATATAGAAAATTGTTTCTCTCCTTTTCTCCTGATTCAATATATAAATTCATTAATTATGAAATCTGCAACTTGCGATGAATAATTGCCTTGTAAGCTGTTTTGGCTCCGCGGCCAATTCTGCAAACGTTCATGAAAAGAAGCAATCGAGGTTTAAATATCAAGTTGTATAAAAAAAAAATTTGATTTTTTTATTGTTAAATAAAACATACATTTTTAATAAATTATTAAAAGAAGTATAATAAAAATAAGTTGTGTTCAGATTTCAGTTAAAAAAAAAAAGAAGTCTGATGAATAAATATAAGGGTAAAATAAATTAAAAAAAAACTTAAAACAGACTAGAATCTTAAATAAGAATAAGTTAGATAAAATAAAGAAAAAATCAAATTTCTATTTTGGTAAAATGAATTGAATTGATTAAGAAATTTAAAAGGTAAAATCAAATCAATTTAATGAAGTCAAATAAAAACAAAAGTATTTCTAAAGGAAGTTACCATTTTCTTTTGGAAATGAAATAAATATTTTAATCTCTTTTTATTTCTCTCTTCCTCTTTCTTTTAAGGAGTCGTCGCAATTCAAATTAATGTTATGCAATCTAAAAAAATGCAAATCTAGCATTAAAATTATACAACTTAAAAATAAATAAATAAATAAAATAAAAAATGCTAAAATTTCATAAAATGAATTAAATAGTTTTGAAAAAAAGTAATATAACAAAATTAAATTAAATAATATAAAAATACAATCTCAAATATCATACAGAATATATTATTGATAATCAAGTTGAAGAAAATAATACAATTTATATATCATAAACAAATATAATGTTGTGACAGCCGTACATACCAAATTATATAGCATCAAAAACTTTCTAAATATCTCTATATAACAAAATATATCATTCTTATATGTATTGTATTGTATATAAATTAATTAAGAATAAAAGATTCGTAAACGGTTGCTAAATGGGTTCAGGGTTGTGACTTTTTGTATTTTAGCGCATCAAATCGAGCAGCAAGTTCATCATAATCTGGCAATTTGGGATGAATTCGAAGGCTTCCATCCTTTTTAACCAGGGATGAAGGCACAGGTGGTGGAAGCCGATTAGGTGGCAAATTAACAGGTGGTTCTTCTGCTTCAATTTCTTCATCACAATCTGATTCATCAAACTTAATATCTGAATGTGCAGAAGTTGGATGGTAGCTGTGTCTCCTGTAATCCTTTCCACCACACAATTGGGTAGGCAATGTATCCACACAGTTCATATGATCAGACCTTGGTAAGCTGTGAGACCTGTTCATTTTCTCCTCAGTTGTAAATTTATGAGTTATGTTGTTCTGGGTATTTTTTGCAAGATCATTTGATTGGAAGGTTGAAGAGTTAACACCTGAGTTATACAACTTATCATTGGGAAAATATGGTCGACAGGCTTCATTATAGTCCTTCATAGCCATATAAGCAGCCACTTCAGCAGCAGCAATTGCTTTCTTAGCTGCTTCAGCTGCTGCTTCAGCAGCAGACTTGGAATCTTCAAAATGCATGGCATCAGTTTTTCCACCACCCGATAATCTGATGAATCATCAGAAAATTCTATTATTGCATAAGGAGATAGCAATATAATGCACGTACCTAAAAAGGTAGAATCTGATTAGAACTACAAACATATATGGCATCACCACCTAGTAGCTGGCTTATATGATTCCACAGATACATCTATTGAAGGCTTCACCGGTATGCTGCTGGCGCTGACAAAAGTGCGTGGCCCTTCCTGATGGGAGAGAAGAACCAAATTATCAATGAAAATTTGAGTCAAAGCATAAGAAAGCAAGGGAGATCAAGAAAGAAAACATACTATTAGCTCTTCCGGTGGCTTGAGAAGTTCTTTCTCAGATTCTGAGGTATCCCAATCAATTTGATGTTCCTTAGCTATTTCCTTCAACACTTTCAATTTTACTTCACCAGGAGGTGTTCGTACTGAAAGCTTGTCGATCAACTAAAGTTCATTTCAATTCACAAGGACTAATAAGTAATATTAATACTTTTGAGGATTAATAGAAATTTAGTAGTTTACTAACAAAGCAAGCATCAAAAGGCTACCAGCAAAATTGAAGACGGTTTACCTGACGATTTACACCACAGCTAGGTCTAAGATCTACAGCTGCAGATACAAAATCTTTCCCATATTTCTTTTCAAAGATATTTTTAAGAGACACAAGTTCTGGAATTTCAGAGCACCTTGGCGCTGCAAATATCAAGCTAGCAATTCCTTCTTTCAAATCCGCTGGGCATTCCCTGGAACAAGTTGGAATAGCATCAGAATTTCAAGTATTTACTATTATAATGGAATAGCGAGTTCCCCAATACTTCACCTTTGCTTTGCAATGATAGAGAGTCTTGCAACAACTAGTTCACAGAAGAGCTCAATAAACTCATTTGCAGCCAAAACATTCTGCTCTCTCATGACATGCTCAACCTAGAAAGCCACAAAAATAGCCATTCCAATTATAAAATGAAAAATGGCATCCGATACATCGCTATGCACCATCCTCAAGGTAAATCTAATGAATTTCTACTTGCAAATGTCATACCATACCTCCTTGAATGTGAAGCACTACCCATGGACATTAACCATAGACCATAGTCACAAAAGAAAAACAACCATCATAATTAATCACAACAAAATTACTTGTGGAACCTATTCTCTTCAATCTTTACATTAGCTACAATTTCACACGATGTCCTCTTTCTTTATAACATGAAAAGTGAACAAGCATTAGCTTTACAAATTTTCAGTTTCCGAAAATAAATTAAAAATTACTGAATTCCCCCCCATTCCCTTCAACTTCAAGGGCGCGTTTGGATAAATTAATTAAACGCTTATTCACTAAGATTATCGTATTGAACCTATTTTGATAAGTTTCACTCACATTCCTTTATTGAAATAAGTTAAAATGAGCTTATGGATACTTATAAGCCACTGTCAGAAGCTCTGCTAAATGCACCCTAAGTCTTAAACTAACATTCAAAGCATGATGTTATCTAAACGTCACCGTTTTCGTCCAGTAAAACAAGATCTAAGGAACAAGCACGATCAATCAAATACCCGGAGCTACTCAACCAAAAGGTATTATAAAAGGAAACGGCAAAAGCTGAGTCCAAAAATTCCAACCACGAAATCACAAAACTATTTAAAATCTAAGAAGATAATATAAAAGAAGAAAGTAAAATAAGCGAGAAGGTGACGTGGCAAATAAAATACCCTGATACGAGCAGTGGCATCTTGACCAGACTGAAGAAGGAGAGCAATGTCTCGTCTCATCTGCCTCACCACAACCTCTCTCTTGTTCCGAAGCAGCTTGATTCTCGCCACCGCCATCTTCGCTGCCGTTTTGCTGCCACAACAACACAAGCATTCATTTTGGTTATTTGAATGTCGTTTGGAGAATAAGAACGAGAGAAGATAAGAGTACCATTTGGAGGAGTTGAAGCCGAGGCGGAGGAGGGAGAGAGTGAGCTTCACGAGCCTCTTGGTGCGTGCGGAGGCAGCGCTTGCGACCGTCATGGGATGGATGGCCAAGTGAGAGTGAAGAAGGGTTTTTGGGGGAAAGAAAGAAAAAGGGAAGAAGAGCAACGGTCTGCTGAAAAGGAAATGAGATAAAAAAAGGAGTGCTAAAAAAGGGCATGAATGGGTTTGTCGTTTTTTGTGGGAAAATGTAGCCGTTATGGGAGAGAATGCGTTCAGAATGAATCTTCGATTAGAATCCTATGCAGCGAGGCTTTCCTTATACGTGGAATCTGACAACTTTTAAAATGCCACGTCGCCAAACTAGGGATTCGCGAGACTTGCCTACTAAGCCATGCTTATACAATTTTGTTTTTCTCTATATATAATTTGAGTCATAATTATTAAATGAGAGTATTTTTAAAAGTCATATTAAACAAAAGTAATTTTAAGTATTAACACATTATATAAACTTTTAGAATAATCTAAAAAAAATATTAGAAAGAATATAGGAAAATTTATTTGCATCATTTAATTACAACTTACAAGATAATTATAGAAAATTATATTTCTAGAATTATAATATCAAGTTACCCAAACATAGTGAAAAAAAATGTCTACAAATAAGCATGATTGATAAACAATTTGGCAAGTATATCAAATCGTTTACAGTAACAAAATATATTTTATCGTCTACTAAAATTAATGTTAAGTACCAAACTACAAGAATATTACTAATTGAATCGTAAAACAGAATATGAACTATAAAATAAAAACATAGATAATGTGCAAAATGTAAAAATAAAATGTAAGTGTTGAAAAATTAAATTAACAATAAGAGTAAAATTCAAATGTAAGAGATTGGCTATAAATGAAACTACATTGCAGAATGTAACTAAATAAGGAAACAAAAATGAGTTGTAAATTAATTAATTAATTAAGAAGTAGATTGAGTTTAGAATCCCTTATTTCTTTACTATTGCTTAAAAAATATATATAACCTAGAATACAATCCAATCTAATGGCCAGATTTTCTATAGTACCTAATATCAATTCTTTAGTTGATTGGTTCTAAATCAGTTCTAGATTTTCAATTCCTTAGGTAGTCAAGAAGATGATCAGTATTAAATTTAGAAATCAACAAGAGTACATCACTATAAATTTCTATTCCTAGATAATCCGTAATGAACAATTTAATTCTATTCCAAGAAAGGTCACAACTTTTCAGTTATAAACTCCTTTTCATCATTCCTGAATACAAAGAACAAGGAAGCATTAATCTCAAAATTAAATATGTTCGATTGCAGCTATGAGTAAAAGATTAAGTTCATCCTTTTTCAACTCCAATAAAATTAGTAAAACTAATAGACGATGCTAGGTCGCTATCAAAACAATTAAGTTTTCTAAATATTTTGTAATATAGAGTCATGGAAACACATTCTCAATCAAATTCAATTTTAGGTTTTTTTGAAAAAAAAATGCAAATAAGGTTTTTGGAATTTTGAAAATTGCAAATTAATCAAATTAAATTACGGACAGAATTAAAGTGAGTAAAAATGAATTAAGAAACATTAATCCAAAAAATATCAATTGCGTGTAACTCTGGCTATCACAGTATCTAAAAATTTGAATCCACGTTTGAACAATCACCTAATTCAATTATTAATTCAATCGAATAACCTAATTAAATAGAGTTACAAATTAAATCAAATAATCATTTAACCTAATCCGCATTAATTATCAAATTAGAGCATCAATTGAGTTCTAATTTGAATTCTAACAACTAAAAAGTCAATTACGATTGCTATACACAATTCTAAGATTAGAGAGAAAAGAGAACAAATTCAGAGTAATTTAGCACAGAACTCAAGTCAGAATTACGACGTTTGGATTTTGCAGATTGAACGAGAGGTTTAGCCTTCTATCAAAACGTTTAACCTACGCAAGAATGAGAAAAGAACGAGAGAGTTCGAGAGAAAGTAAAAACAAAGATTCTTACTTCGGTCAAGTCTCAAAATCTCAAAGTGTCTAATCGCATCATACCTTAAATCAGAATTTTATTAGTCTATTTATAAATTCTAATTAGGGTAAATTGAGTGGCCAAAATTCGGGCCTCAATAATATCTAAAAGCCCAAATACAATCTCAAAGGGTCCAAATACAATCCCGTAAAAATATTCAGTAAATCTGCCTCAGCTTCAAAAAATTATAAAAAATTGAAAACAACTCCAAATCTAGTGATACATTTTGAAGTCCTAGAATCAATCAAAAACGATATATGTAGAGAAGGTTATGGCCAAAAGAGTAGTTAGTGGTCAGAATTACTGAAAAATATGAAATTAAAGAATTTATTTATAATAGGTCTAATTTATTCCAATAAGTAGAAAATGGTAAGAACTCTAAAAATAAATTTTATTAAAAGTGTTTATAAACTAAAATAAAACTATAAATATAAACCTAAAATATGTCACATCAAATTCCTCCAAACATAAGAGTTTGCCTTTCAAGACAAATCACAAAATCAAACCATAGTGGACTTAAAATAAATTAAGGTATGCAAAATTTCTATCAAGTTCAAATATCATGGCTAAAATGGAAATAAATCCTCACACTTCAAATTTACAAATGAACTCATCAAACCAAGTGAATGAACCATAAAAAATAGAATCCTCACATGACATACTCTCAATCACTCAAGTGTATCACTCAAAATGCACAACATAAAACATGATCAACCATAAGATTGCACTTTGCCTACTTCTCCACTAGAATTCACACATACACACAAAAATCAAGAGGACTTTGCTAGGTTATAAAGGGACATGGTGAAGGTGGAAAAATTACAAAGGTAATCAAGCTAAAATCAAAGAGGATATAAGAATAATGGAGAATGAATCCAAAGAAAGTAAGCATGAAAGTAAATCCCCTAAACAAAGATATAATATAATACAATCCAAAAACAATTGTCTTTTGTTACTTTTACAACTGTTGTTCCATTGTAAGTAAACTGACTAGCAAGTGTACTAGTGTTGTTGTAGCAAGTTATAAAAAATCTTAGAATCAAATTGAGTTCCAAGTATCATCCTCAGGGAATAAAGTTCTCAATTACCACTTCACAAGATCACAATTAGTTGAGTTTTACAAATTTCAGATGGATTTAGTATGAATGTATCAAAAATGAAATTAGAAAGTAAAACAGAACAGTTAGCATAAAAGTATATAGTAAACAGATGTAAAAAGAGTAGCTAGGAAATTGTTTCACCAAAACTTCAACATTGAATCAATAAAGTTCTGAACTTTCAAGCATTTAAATGAAATGACAATCAGTTTCACGTTATATTAATCAAAGGACAATCCCTTGCCTCAATGAATCTAGCATCTAATCAAATCACTCTAATCCCTTAGATCTAATCCAATCAAATGCTGCATTAAGTTTGAGAAACCAAAAGATTGCAAGATTAAGATATCTTATCCCTAAGAAACCAATAACCTTGGCAATTAATTCAGATCTGAAAAACAAATTCAATTCCCATTGATAAGAGTTCCTCTATGATTAGTTGATTAAATTTCCATTCAATCACTACTTTAACAGCAGAATCAATCACTCAATCCAATCCAAAACTCAAAGTTCAGATCCAAAATCAATTCAACATTTCTATTTCAGATTCACAGTTCCTAACCACAAAGAGTTTAAGTAAACATTACAAAAAGAGAAGAGAAGAGAAGAGGAGAAGAGAATGAACAAAGAAGAAACATCTTCAAGCCAATCTCCAATCTGATCCCTCAAGAAATGAAGCTTGGTGTTCATCCTCAATCTCCTTCTCTAACTCTCTCAACAACAAAAACAAATGGAAAATTATAAAAATGAATAAAATCTCTAAATTCCTGAGCTAATTGTCTTTTATAGAATTCCCGCTCTGCTAGCGTGATCACTTTTGCCAGCAATAGTAATCACGCAGAGGCTAATTCTTGCTTTCCACTTACGCGTGATCACTTTTGCTAGTGATAGTAGCCACGCGCACTTCAAAGTGTTCACTTTTGTTGAAAATAGTAGCCAAGCAGAAGCTTCCCTTACTAATGTCATGCGCGTGTTCACTTCTGCTAAAAATAGTGAACACGCAGAGGCTACCTTCTTGCGCGTGTTCACTTTTGTGGATAATAGTGAACACGCGCAACAACTCTTCTTGGAGGACTCTCTGGAACGCTCATTTTTTCAGAAAAAGTGATTACGCAAAAGTTCTTCTTCATTTTATGGTTCTGGAGTGATCACTTTCGCCAGCAAAAGTGATCACTCCGAGGCTGTTCTTTAATTATCAACTTCTTTCCTCCAATTTTTGCTACTTTTTTTCTATTTTTCCCTTGATCATCCAATCCTCATGAACTTAGCTCAGAATTCCCTACAAAAGCATACTTGAAATGTCACTTTTTACATAGAAAATCAATGAATTTTAAAATAACTATGTTTAAAAGTGACATGCAACATTTTATTATTTTTTTAAGGGTTTTCTACTATTTCTAGCATGTTTTCTTTATTAATTACACTAAAAACTATTGTAAAATACTTGTAAAATATGGATTCATCATCTTTTGCTTTTGCTAGCCATCCCATGCTCATTTTCATTTTTGTTGCTTACTTTTTCTTTTTTTCTTTTTCTTTATTTCTCCTTCTTTTCTTTTTTTTTTAAAGGAGCTGATTTTTCTTTTCTCTTACATTTTCTAAGGTAATCTCCCTCACATTTATTTCTATGATCATTTTCAAAACAATTTCAAAGTTCTTATATTCCCTAAGGTTAGGTCATGTTATTATTTTACACCTTTGGCTTGAAATGAGCTAAGATCACAAGAAATAGGTCAATTAGGCTTAAAAGAACTCAAATAATTGAAATAATGTAAGGTTGGCTTTTTGGCTAGTAGTTTACAAGAAGGAAATGATGTCTCTATCATGTTAATGCAAGCATATGGAAATATAGTCTGAAAAAGGCTCAAGGCAAGTTCTAGTGTCATATAATCATAAGTACAATCACACAATTAAAGAAAGTAAAATGATATGATATTGTTATC